CAACTTTTCTCCATCTTTTTTATGGCAGCCGTTCAAATATCTGAAGACCGTTACCGTGTCCCCCCTTACTAAACAGACCCAGTTCCACCCTTTGCTCGTATGGCTGCATTCCATCCCCGTGACCAGCTTTGTCAGAAATATGGTCGGTGAAGGTGTCTCTGCAGCCCACAGCAGCGACCCTCCCAGCCCAGGTCGACAGACTGGGGCTAGTGGGGCTCCTGTTAGCGCTCTAGACACAGCTGTACAGACACCTCTCAAGCCCACCCGCCATCCCAGCCTTCAGAGCCCGAGCACCAGCCTGATCCGTAACTTCAGAGCACTGCCCACGCCACTAGTGCGAGCGGCTCGTGCAAGCCCCGGGCTGCAGGGACTGGCAGGGGCTGTGCAGCCGTACCCTGAGCCAGCATCCACACACACAGCTCCTGCTCCCAGGGAAAGGCCTCCCAAACCAGCTGCTCCATGTTTGCTGCTTCTGTGTTTGAAATAAACATGGAGCCCGCTCAACCCAGAGCAAAGCTGACAGCCCCCTGGGCAGCAGTGCCAGGGAAGTGAGAAGGAGAAAATCTTCCACCTGCAGCTGCCAGTGCTTCATCTGGAGAGTCTCTGCTGAAGCCACCTTGGCCTGTCCCTGCCCCTGCTGCAGAGCAGATATCTCAGGCCCTCTCCGCCCTGGATGGACTAGCACAGAAGAGAGGAACGGCCCCCAGCCCTAGGGCTGCCCCAGGGGAGCACAGGGGCATTCGCTCTGCTGGCCAGTGTGAACAGGCAGCAGCACCATGGCCCCATCCATCCCTCTCACCCCCGTGAGGCGGAGGGGCCCGAGGCAGGAATCCACACAAACAAAGACAAGAAGCTGCAACAAACAGACCCATGAAAGGCACGTGAGGGACGCGCAGCAAAGTGAACAGCAGTAAATAGAGATGGAGATGAAGGGACCAGGAATCAAAGGCAGAAAAACAGAGTGGGGGTGGGGGCGGGGAACTACAGCCGGCTCCTCGAAGAGCTGAGGAGCGAGAGATGAAAGGGGGCGAAGAGCATTTGAAGGAGAAACGAGAGGGAGAGAGAGAGAGAGAAGCGGGAGGGAGGGCACGGGCCTGGCCACGCATTTAGCATTCGGGTCCCCATCATGCCGAATGGGCACAGCAACCACACGGTGACAAGTCTGCCCCAGGAATGCCCAGAGCCGGGCAGCAAGACCCCCGCCCTCGAGCAGCATGAAGTGCCCTGTGGCCCTGGCCAAAGAGCCCATCTGCAACACCAGGAGGATGTTAGACGAGGGGTGCTCTGCAACTGTGGGGCCTATTTCTGCTCCTCCCTGGTCTCACGCATCCGGGCAGAGTTCCTCTGGGTGGCGTCCGCGGTCTCCCTAGACAGCTCTGAGGAGCAGTGGGCGCTGTCTGGGGTTCCCCTCTGGATCCCTAGTTTTGAACCTGTGACCTCCACTCCTGACCCTGTTGTTCATTAGTTGTCCCCCGCATTCAATTGGTTCCCGGGTCCAGCGGTCCCTCCCACAAGGCTGGGGAAGGGGCCTTTAGACATGGGCAGGCTTGCACCCACCACCTCCCAGGATTCCCAACAAGGCCTGGCCCTCGGGGTGGAATTGAAGGGTTTCCTTTTTCCCTTAAAAGCCCTGGACGGTTTGGCACCTGCCTGCCTAGGAGACAGCCCTGTCCCCAGGCCACACTGCCCCAGCTGGCACCTGGGCCGGGAGGTGACCAAGGGGGCATTCTCAGCTTTGGGACCGGCTGCCCCGGGCAAGGAACACTCCTCCCGGGGGTGCTGCTGGAGGAAGTACGGTCAGTTCTGTCGGCGTTCGCTCAGCTGGTCTTTAATCTGTGTCTAAGGCGCCAGGCGCATGAGCCAGGCCCCTAAGCAAGAGACAGTCTGGTGTGCTGGGTCAGTCATTAACGGGATGCTGGAAATCTGCAGCTAGCCTTTGGTACCCAGATGATGGGCAGAGGTTAGATAGCGACCGAACTCCGGTACTCCCTGTGCCCACATGGGGGACCAGGAAAGCCTTTGCCGAGGGCGTCTCTGCGCTCGGCGCCCACATCACATCGGGCAGGAGGGGCAGGTCGAGGTCCCTAGTTCAAGGAGCTGTTGAGGAGGCCAGGACAGGTCCCTGCTCTGCCACATGAACATGGTTGTGTGCTGAGGCAATGCTGCCACCTGGTGGGCATCATGCAAACCACCAGTCCCCCTCCCCGCACAGCACAGCAGGAAATGCTGAATTTAGCACCGCGCTGGGTGCTTCAGACACGATTTCTCCCCAGCCGCCCCACCGGGAGGAACGCGCCGGGCTGAGATTCGGGGGCTAGTTTACATATCGTTTATCACATTCTCACTGGAACGGAGCGAAAGCGTCTCTGGGCGAACGCGGGAAACAAACGACTCCTGCAGGTGTCCAGAGACGTTGGATCTGGAAGTGGCTATAGTGGCGCCCGTATTGATAAGAGCGCCGCGCCACATTTATAATCCACTGCCCGGCGGCTCACTCATTCATCTGACAGGGACTGTTAATACTTCCTCGGCGTGAAAATGATCCCAGCCAGTTGTGCCTCCATCGTGCGGCAGCACCACCTTGTGCCCATTGTGACAGGTAGTGCAGCCGCGTGCATTGTCTGTGGGGGCCGGTATGAATGGGTTGTGTTTGATTGTGGTCGACTCCATGGGGGAGGGTTACCCAGCTCCTAGAGGAACTAAAAATGGGGGTGGAGGGATTAAGGTGAGTCACTAAGACTAAACAACTCGAGAGGGGTACCACTCCCTGGAGTCGCTTGCACAGAGTGGTTCAAGCTGCATTGTCCAGTAACTTAGGAGCCAAAGAAAATGGCGTTTGATAGAAAAAGGCTGCATTTAAACTGACTCAGAGTCTTCTTTCTGATCCAGCAAACAGGAGCGTCTGGCCAAGGCGGCTCCAGCCCTTGCAGAAGGAAGGGCTTTGACCTGCCAGGGCCCCGTAAGACTGATGGGGGACTTGTGGAAAGTTTCAGCAGGTGTGTAGGAACTTTTATTGTTTTTCATGTTTTCTCTGTAAGGCTTTTTCTCTTAAGAGTAAAGGGGCTGGCTTAGGAAAAGCTGGGTGGTAACTTGTGACTGCTGGCAATACAGTCTTCATAGTTCTCAGGGAGAGCAAAGCACAGATGCTGGGCTTTAGGCAGTCTGGCTTGCCGGGGATATCCCAGTGTAAGGCAGGGAGCTGGGCAGCCATAAAACCCCGGTCAGGAGGTACAGTGATGCAGGACACACACACACGCCCAGAGAGGTGATGGCTGGGAGCTGGAAACCCTAAGTGGGTGCCCTCTAGGGACTACCATGGGGGAGTATGGTGCAGTGACCCTCAAATTGAGACACCCGATGGGGAATGGGACAGGGGATGGGAACAGGGTTGGGGGGGGCGATGGGGAACTGGACGGGGGCTGGGAACAGGACTGGGGGGATGGGAACGGGACTGGGGGATGGGAACAGGGTTGGGAGGATAAGGCATGGGGTCAATGGTTGTATGTTGCCCCTCTTTGGCTAGAGCAGCTAGTTGGGTCCCTGGGGATGTTACCTTGGGAAGACCAGTGGAGGCTGGTATTTGCTTTGACGCAGTCTTGTTTCTTTACAAGGAATGTACAAAGTCTGGTGTCTCCGAATACAGGAGGAACCGAGAGCAAAAGGAGCAGGTTCTTGGCTTACCCCAGGCCTCTTTGGCCAACATCAGACCCAAAAGCCCCTCCCTAGCTTTTCCCAGCATCACTCTGTGCTCACCGACTCCTGCTTGGCTTCCTGGCTCTCTCTCTGGTGTGTGTGGTTGTGACGAACTGGGACTGTTCTTACTGTGGCCTTTGAATGCTGACAGGGGAGTGTGGCTAGGATAGTCTGCATTGGGGGATGGGAGACTGACCGACAGAGAATACCTGAGCATGTAACATGAGAACCCAGGAAGGGGTTAGAGGCCAGGTGACACCTTTGCCCGGGAAACTGAACAAAGGCTGTGGGAGGGGTCGCTGAAGAGAGAGTTTTCAGGAGCTGGCTGGTGATACGGCTGGGAGGCAGACGGGGCTCTGACCTTGCAAGGGGGCTGGGGCACCCTGGGACCCCAAGATGGACCTAACTGAGGGGGGGTCCTGTTGTCTGTGCCTGCAAGACCTGTCTTGGACTGTATTCCTGTCGTCTAAATAAACCTTCTGCTTTACTGGCTGGCTGAGAGTCATGGTGAATCGCAGGAAGCCGGGGGTGCAGGGCCCTGAGTCCCCCATACTCCGTGACAGTGGTCTCAATTTCTGTGTGTCCTCCCTTCCCTCACTCACACACACACACTCACACACATACACACACCCCACGAAAAATACTCACGAAAGCCCTCTATAGGTGAGGGGTGTCTGGCAAACTCATTCTGACAGTGATGTTAATTGACGGGTGAGTTCACACCTATCAATCTCTATGAGGTTTTAACTCAACCCATGCAAGGTTTCATCCAGCTCATAGCAACACCATGGAATTTGTTTTACAATTTTCTTTGTTTAAAATCCCGGTTTATTGAGTTTGCCCCTTGAGAACACCCTGCCCCATCCAAAGTGCAGGATTCACACCGAACCCCGTCACAGTTCTGGTGAGATGTAGTGCAAGCCCTGGCGTCCTGCTCTGTTCTTGCACACACGCCACATGCTGTGTCACACCTCCCGCAAACCTTAGCCTCTGAGTGCCAGCTCCTGGAGCCAGGGACCGGGGCTTTGTTCGGTGTGTGCAGTGGTGTCCTGCCGTGGGGGCTGCTGGGGGGCCAGGGAGGCACCGAGCAGGAAGCAGGGCTCGGCCTGCCCAGCTCAGCTGTGGTTTTGAATCTAAAAGTGTTAGCACTTTTGCTGACCAGAACGTTCCCATTGTTCCGGGAGACCCAGCACGGGGCAGGGGGTAAACACCAAAAGGGGAAATGGGTGGGGAAGTGAAACTCAGCAGCTTCTTCCAACCCTGACCGGACAGAGCCACCCGCAATCCCTCCCCCATCCCCCCGTACCCTTCGCCTCATTCTCCCTCTCGGGGAAGGTCAGAGACCAAACGAAGCCGCCTGCTCACAGAGCCTCGGCCAGCCTCCGGGAGAGGTAAGTGACTTTTCTCTGCGCTGCCCGGGTGCGCTTCTCCCATGCGGGCTGCACTCTGGTTCCCCAGCGGCAGGTCTCTGCGTTCGGGATCCCGCAGCCTTTCTTCCTCAGCCCCTTCCCGCCACGTTGGGACTAGCTCTCTGCCCCCCTCGCTCTTCGCCTGTCCTGGGCCGAGGAGCTCCCGGCCCCACCCCAGCTGCATGGCTGTGGGGAGCGGGGAAGGGGGGAGCCCCTCAGGCCCTGCTCTCCCTCTGAGAAGGCCAGTGCGCAGGGGGCCCCAGCCAAGCTGTACAGGGGGATGTTTGCATCCCATCCTCTCTCCCTGCCATGCAGCCAGTCTGCAGTGGAAATGACAGCCGCATCTCTGCCCACAATCGCTCTTCTTGCCTTGCTGCTCCTGGCATCTCTGAGCCCTGCCCAGCTGCAGTCATCTCTCATCGGGTCATTCCCTGCCCAAGGGGCTAGCCTCTCTGGGCCCATCTTCCCTGACATTCACAGCACTTCCCGGCTTGGGGTCACCTGTGAGCGGGCTCTTCTCCCAGCCCTGCAGATGGGGGGTCCCCTGCAGCGCAGGTCAGGGTCTCAGCCCCCAGCTAGGGACTGGGAGCGGAGTTTGGGCTCTGTATTGTGTATCTGCATCAGACCTAGCTCACTCCTGACTCTGGTCATACCCCCATGCTGACCATGGCCGGGATGTAACCAGTTCTGAACCTGGGTGCTGGCTCTGACCCAGGTTTGATTCTGGCTGGCTGGGTCATCTCTGCCCCGGTGCTGACTCTGGGGTGAAGACTGGTGAGCGGTGACATTGGGAGTGACGTATGAACAGTGGAGAGAGGAAAAGAATCAGAGCCTGACTGTTTAAAAGACTGGGGGGGAGCCTGGCCCCATGGCAAGCTACGGGGGTTTGGTCACTGACACCAAAAAGGCCAGAATCTCACCCTGTCTATTAAACCCCAATGCACCCGTTGGAGAAAGGACATCTTTGTTAAAGGGCCATTCCTACCCCCTCCAGTTCGGTTGTGCGCACTCTCAGCATGCACTTGGAGCCCCCCAGAACCACAATACCAGGGGCAGCAGACTTCACAGGCCTCCTGTTTCTAAGGTGCAAGTGAGCAGAGACCCCCACCCCCTTTAATCGGTTATCTCAGCCTCTCCCCCCCCCCCGCATGCTTCTAGAACTGCCCCTCGAATCACCGGCCCCTTGGAGGGGGAGAAGGGGACTGAGTTGGTTTTTGACACTTGGCTCATGTTCTGCTGCTCTGTGCATAGCTGTGATGGTCTCTTTCCAGGTCCCTGTCCGCTGGTAGCCAGCCCCCGCCCTGTGCACGGCAGCCCCCGGAGGTAAGGAAAGCCCGCTGCTTTGCCGCTTTCTGCTTCTGCTCCCCGTCTCCTTTCCCAGCAGCTCCAACACAACCACCCCCCCCACACACACACACAGACATAGCGACACCATAACCGATGTGGTTAGCGAAGGAGAGTGTCCATCTCCGCAATGGTTTTGGAGACAAATTCAAAACTGAAATATCAGGGACATTTTCCAAACGGGCCCATTGCAAACCCTGGGCAATGAAAACAGTGACAACAGGCTCCACAGGCTGGAGGGGTTTGTGCAGCTAGTATTTCACCCAGCTCTAGTGTACGGGGTGTGTGTGTGTGTGTGTGTGTGTGTGTGTGTGTGTGTGTGTGTGTG